TACATATCTTGGCGTATCTGAATTTATTTTCCAATTGAATTTTTCGATGATACAGAAAATACATGGTGTTTTTCATCCTATCATAACAACTTTAGGGAACAAAGTTACGTACGTGTGTGTTGGTGAGTGAATGCTGACTCATATGATTTTTTTTAATATCGGGATCGATGTGCTTTTTGCGAGGGGGTGCCCCGTTTTGCGCGCGTTGCCATTCTGCTCTCTGTATATATTTCCTTTAATCTTTAAGTGTCCGAGTGCTTTATATATTTTATAAATCGAATTAGATTATTTTATATAAAAATAATAATTTGTATGGATTTAAACAAATGTTATTTCCCTACTGATTATGTTACATGTATAAACTTACTAGTATTCCTAGATTCTGTCTAGACCCCCCTTTTACGAAATAACTAGATCTGCTATAAAATAGTATAAAAATAATAATGATATACGGAATTCCTTAGGAATAGTTACATACTAGTCGCTTGGAAGAAAAAAATAAATACTTTCTCAAGTTTTAAATTCTCAAAACGATTGAGGTTATTAAAATAACGTAATTTTAAGAATTTCTGAAAAATGAATTAGACGCAGGCGACGTCATTACGTTTTCAGTGAGTAGCGTCAAAGTTGTTTTTGGAGCGCCTCACTAAAATGCTCATAAAATACTGAAAAAGTGAGATATTTTCAAAATTTTTGTATATTTGCATTCAGAAAGAGTCCGGCTATCAAAATTCACCAAAAAGTCATTTTATGAAAATTTGAACTTAAGGGCCCTTTTCTCATGACGGCAGTCATATATATATTCAAGTGTTTCGAAAACTGATTGATTCCGATATTTTATCTTAATTCTATTGTTTAGTGCCAACTTTTACATATATCATAAATTATATTGTCATTCATGCATTGTACATGTAGCAACGTATAATTATGTAGTATACCAAATAAAGATATCTATATCTATCTATCTATAAACTGCTTTAACAGAAGAAATATCTATTCTTAAGCAAAATTAAGGGATTAAATGCTTTAAAAAAAAACACCCAATATAACTTACGGTACAGAATTATTTGGAAAAATTGAAGAATTCAAAACTTTCAACTAAATTAATCAATTTCAGGGCTCCTGATGTGTTATTTTCTTATATGGGGTGTCAAAAACCAAGGCGCACTTGGACGCTAAACATAGAAAAAACTTGGAATGGCCTTATAGAGAAATGCGTTATTCCGCATTTTTAGGTCACCTGAGTAAACTCAGGTGACCTATTGCTATCTGTTTTCGTCCGTCGTCGTGCGTCGTGCGTCGTCCGTCGTCCGTCGTGCGTTAACATTTGAACATTTTCAGCTTCTTCTCTGCAACCACTGAACCAATTTCAACCAAATTTAACACAAAGCATCTATGGGTGAAGGGGAACAAAAATTGTGAATTTCATGATCCTTGCCCCCCTGGGGCCTGGGGGGTGGGGCCAAAACCACTAAAATTAATGCAATCTTTAAAAATCTTCTTCTTTACTCCTGGACATCAAGCAGTCAAACTGTTTGCATGATTGTAATCAGCAATGAGTCCTCTACCAAAATTGTGAAATTCATGGCCCTGGGGTCAGGGGTTCTAGTGCTAGGGCGGGGCTATATAAGTAGGTAGTGAAAATGCATTATTTCTTTGAAAATCTTCTTCTTTGCTCCTGGGTATTAAATAAACCAACTAAGTACATAGTTATGATGAGCAAGAGTGCCTCTACCAAAATTGTGAATTTTATGGCCCCAGGGTCAGGGGTTCTGGTGTTAGGGTGGGGCTCTATTGATTATATATAGTGAAAATACATGATTTCTTTGAAAATCTTCTTCTCTGCTCCTGAGTATTAAATAAACTAACTAAGTATATAGTTATGATGAGCAAGAGTGCCTCTACCAAAATTGTGAATTTTATGGCCCCAGGGTCAGGGGTTCTTGTTTTAGGGGGGGGGGGGGGGGGGCTCTAATGATTGTATAGTGAAATGCATGAATTCTTTGAACATCTTATCCTTTGCTCCTGGTTAATATACTAATGATCTAATTACATATTTAAGGCCAGGATTTATTTTATTTTCAGTTTTACAAACCCCCCGCTCAAGGTTTTGAATTTTCAGAAAAAAATAAAAAAAATTTTCTTTCCGATGTCAAATTTGAGTCGGGATCGAGATTTCAAATTTACGAACTCGCACTTCTGGTTTTAAGATGAAACGGCGGGTAAATAAAGCTAGATGGTCTGAGAAGATAGCTTGGGTTAGTGTAAAATTCTTCGATACGAGTGCCATTCAAAACGTTTCACCCGTTCAAAGGACAAATAAAATGCTGACGACTTTGTTGCACAATGACATGCTGGTGAGATAATTATGTATTCGTTTCAAAAGTATCTGTCTGTAAATTATTTTCCTCTCCCAGGTTTTAAACTGCCCGTGGTAGCTGTTACATATTGCCAGCGACATTGTTTAGGACTCTGTTATAGCTTACAGTCTAAGCATCATTCTTCAGAAAAGGGTTGCTTATGCATCAGATCATCTTCGCTGGCCAAGGGTTTCTGATACGCTTCTCTCCTCATAAACCCTTGGCATACGGTGAAGTCAAAAGACGGGATTGTTTTCCGTCACGTGATCTCGAATCTATCAGGTACGCACAGATTGCGTCATCGCCAGAAATAAAGACACGTGTTAAAAAAAATTAAATCAAAGTTTTTTCAAGAATAATTAAGAACCAGTAATTGAGTTATGTTTATTCATTATCTATAGAACAAATCTGAAGCTTCAATATAGATTCTTAATCATATATTTAGAAGATATTGGATGACACCATGGCTATTCATAGAAATGAATGTTATCTTACGGATCGTTGTTTACTTGCGTTTTTCATATCCGAGATTAAAGAGTGAAGATGTATCCCGAACGCAAATATCGTCATTTACAAAAAACAATTGCTGATTGGTCGACCTGGGTGTACTGAAATCCAATCAGAACTCTTGAAAAAAAATCCCAATTTCTATGAACACCGTAGGCCAAGGGTTTATGAGGAGAGTAGCGTATCAGAAACCCTTGGCCAGCGAAGATGGCATCAGATGTAATGAATAAAACTATGGGAGAAGTTAAGTCCATTTGAGGAAGAAATAAACAATAACCTGAAGAAATAAAAAAATTCAACTATTAAAAGGCAAGAATATACAAATATATACAGGCATGTAGTGTCATTTGTATCAGCCAGAAAAATTATTTTACACTTAATTGAAAAAATGTTCACCCTACTCCCCAATTCTCCCTGTCTGTTTTATGATAGGAATTATAATTTTAGGCATCAAGTAAATTTTAAAACAATGTCATACATTTACCTAACACATATTTAAAAAAAAATTTATTCTCATGTTCATAACTAAACCTGAACATAAAAAAATGCTGGCCTTATAATGAAGAAAGGGGCCTCTTTCAAAATAGATAATTTCAGGGCCGCTGGGTCAGGGGTACCAGGGGGGTACTTTGACTAAAAATAAATTAATGCTTTGAAATCTGTCCTTTGATAAGCAATGGTGCCTCCTTCAAAATTTGTGAATTTTATGGCTTTTGGATTAAAACATGAACCAAATACAATCGCTGGAAAGTTGTTACATGATACTCAGGTGACCTATAAGGCCCGTGGGCCTCTTGTTACATTTGTATTGTGTAGTATAATGTATATGTGTCATATTTAGCGTGTATAATTTTTAACAAATAAAGATAGATTTGATTTGATTTAAATAATTTCTTAATTTTCTTATTTATATACATGTGTATACATGTATGCGTACAAGACATTAAGCATTGTACTTGAATTAACGGAAGTTTCTTTCCACCAAAGGCGCTAAGAATACACAACCAAATAATTCGGTTACAGTACAGTGGCAAAATAATTGGGGCGTACGTTTCGAAAGTTTAGCCACCTTAATAATAAAAATCTTTTCCAACATGCCAGACGTACAAAAACACCTTGACAGTCAAATTATCAGCTAAAAAAATCAATATCCTGAGTTAGATTCTACATGTAATACTAAGTATATAGCTCAAAGAGCATCTTCATAATTACTCAAGAGCAATGAGATATTACTGTCTTCCCCAATATTTTAGACGAAAAACTGCCACAATCAAATTGTTCTCATAATTTGCTTTATTAAAAATGCACTAAGAACACAATTTCAGACTTGAGTTACTTAGTTACTCCTCATCTTTCTTCATCATGTCTTCAGTCTCTCTTTTGTCTTCTTCACTCAGATCTCTTCCATAAATGCGATGCTCTGTCAAATGATAAATACAAACTATATTATATACTTGTTATATAATGCAGGATTTTTTGCTTTTTGAAACTTCGAAACTTTTTATTTCACTAAAGCCTCCATGCACATGGGGTATGTTAGTACAACAAGAATTTAACAATTGAACAAGTAAACGTGTGAACAGTTAACATGATCATCAAGAAAAAGATCTTCGATATGCATCCCTGATATGAACACAGGCACGTGACCTGTATCACACCCTTATCACACCTCTCCTGAACATCTCTGTACTTTTCATACGGAGTACCTTGGATCTTTTTACTATCATATTAAATATGTTGTTTTCATTTGAACATACAAAGAACCTAAATTATGATATCGCATGAGCATTAAACAACGTCACAATGTAAACTTTTATCAAATATATGTAGACTAATGATAAAACAACAATACATGACAAAATCTGTTTCACACCCCATATCAACCCTCGAACAATATCAGCCCTCTGGCATTTGGGTCTCGGACTGATATTGTTGATATAGAGTGTTGATAGAGATTTTGCAATGTATTATTCCTTATTTACACCGAGTAAAGAATGACACTTTCTTAGATTTGTTATCAAACTTTTATGTGAAGAAACTTTTACTTACTATGGCAATAATACATCACTTTAAGGTATTTGAAGGTTCCTTGACAGGGGTCTCCAAATACCGAGTTACTGGCCTGAAGGTAGCATTTATGTTTCCCGTTGCATAAATTTCTTGCCACAGAATTTCCTTTTTTGGTAGAACAATAAATGTTCCAATGACTAGAATTCTTCCTTGGACAGGTTTTTAAATCTTTTCGGCCATACGCAGCATAGAGAACTGAAATCCATCGATCTCCTCCGCAATCCAATACCATTTGTTGATTTTCACATACTAATGTCGTGTATCTAGCCTTTCCTGTTTTTTGATGAAAATTTTGTCATGTAAACATTATTCTTTAATCATCTAAACAAGTCAGTAATTGCTAGCTTTGCATAATTTCTGCAACGATAATAGTTTTTTTTTCTTCTAGAGAAACACCTCAACCTTTTATCGTTGACCTTATCTATTCTAATATGTCGGAATAGAAATTCTAATTTCTTCTCTGAAACTTAGTTTTTTATTTCAAATTTTGATTTTCCACTAACTGCTATGTTATTTTATCAGTTTTAGAATATATTTTTGTAAATGATTAAAAGAGAGGAGATATTAAGTTTGATCAACACAGGCACGTAGCATCATTTTTGAAAGTGGGGGGCCAACCAGAGAATTCTTTTTTACCTTACCAGAATAAGTTGACAAGCAAAAAAAAAAATAATAATAAAAAGATGTTAAAAAAAGGAAAATTAAAAGTTGCCCATACTCGAAAATCCTATTTCGTGAAGGTGGGGGGGGGGGGGGTAGTGACCAACTTTTTCAAAGCCAAGTTACTTTCACTTCCAATTTTTTCGTACAATTCCTTCAAATCACTATACTATGGTAAAAATTTGGGGGGGGGACCATCCTTTCAATGAACATTTTCTAGAGTAAAGGTAATGTTGGGGGAAAAGTGGAGGGGGGTAGCCCCCCCCACCTTCTTGCTACGTCTCTGCAACATATTAGTTTTAAACTTGGTGAAATTCTTAGTGTAATTACGAATACTTAATTTCATACTGACAACCACATATTATCTAACCACTGTGGAATTTACAAAAGGATGATGCTCAAATAAAAATGCACTCCTTTTACTAAGCATTTAGTTCTTTGTCTGAATTCACGTAAGATGAAAAATTGACTAGAGTGTGAAAGGTTAAGATCAACCTATATAAACCCTTCAAACATTACAAATCTGTGAACAGGGAATAACACACGGAGCCCTGGGAATTCCAGAGGTAGGATCAGGTGCCTTGAGGAAGTAAGAGTCTCTTGTCGACCTAACACACCCGTTTATTAGCCATATGTGTATTGATAAGATAGACCAAATAACATGTAGTCAAAGAACTACGAACGCTAACTCTCCATTCCCGCCTACGTATTACAACAATTTGATTCAAGATTGATGACAATTTGGCCATAAAATCTTTGTTTAATATAAAAACCAATTAAATGGTAATTAATAAATGATTTTAGTTCCATTGCTAATTAATAAAATATCGCTAATTCCAGCTTTTGCAATGAAAGGGGTAGACGATATTTATCACTGAAATTAGGCTTTAAAGCATCACCAATTCACCATATTCTGAAATAGTCTTGGATATGAATAAATGTTCTTAAATCTTTTCTCATGTCTTATGCAAATAGAATTAAGCATATATATTGGTGAAATATAATGCTTCCGTTGTTAAGCACTTAGAAATTACTGAAAAAAAAGCATTTTTGTTGTTTTGTTGTACATAAACATGTGCCCCCTTCCCCTACCGTGAAACAGAAAAAGCTTTGGTATGAATTTGTGAAAGTCCATATTACCCGTAAAAATGAATTTCTGTTTAACGGGAGTTAAAGATGTTTTAAAAATATTTTCAGTTTTCCGTTGATTTCTATATAGGGAAAAAACATGAGTTTTTACCAGCATTTGAAAATTATATATCTCTCGTTGTTTTCCCAAATAAGAAACGTTTAATGAAAACCCATATAAATATCAATATATGTATTGAAAATATTTCGAATATCTTAAGTTTTGAAATTTCACTTGGAGGTAGGCGGGAGAACAATACTATCGTTCGCAGTTCTTTATATAATATAAACCGTCCAAATAATATTTATGAAACATATCAATTAAAATACGCCTAAGTGAAAGATTATCCGATAAACACATTTCATAATTAATCTTTAATTTATGAGACGGTTTTCACATTTGTATATAGATAGATCTTCAATCCATTTCATTCATTTAAATAAATATAATTTGAACCAATTCATTTGAAAAAAAATAATACACGTGTCATTTTCAGTTTGCTTTTAACATACGAGGGCTGTTCAATAAATAATGTCCTCGGTGCTCAGAAAGAAGCAAAAGACGCTTTTCAATGATTTAGTCTTCATGATTTTACTTATTAATCTCTTTAAAGTAAAATACATGTGCGTAACATTTTTTATCCAATTTAGAACTCATTTTTGGGTATGACCCTTAGTATACTGGAAAATGGCAGATCCAATGATTTCCCGGACTTGTTTCTTCCCTCTGAAAGGTGTTTTTTTCCCAAGTTTGAAAATAGAAACAAGTCAAAAGGTCAAAGATCTGGCGAATATTGTTAATGTGAAAAAACATTAACTTTCTGTTTATCCCGAAAACCCCTTTACTCTTCAGGGCATGCGGGTTTGGACGCTGTCTTGAAGAAATTCAATGTAGTGGATTTCTGATTCTGGGTCCTTTCTCTAGTATACCTTTTGATTTTTTGGCCAAAAAGTGTTTTCTAGACTCCTCCAGAAATTAAACTGTCTCTCCGAATACGATTTTGAACAACAATACTACCGATGTTTTTAGAGAATTACATATAAATCTGTCTTTGTGCTCTTGCATACCTTGTCAGACATTCGCCGTTTTTATCAAGTACATCTTATGGTAAATTTTGCTTTTAGGGTTTTTTGCAATAAATTCATGTTCCAATATCTGTTTGAAAATAAAACAAACGTGGATAACTACAATTACTTTCAAAAAAATTGTTTAGAATTTCGTACACGCTGTCTTGTTCACTCATTTTTCAAAATACAAGGTGACCTTTGAGCACCAAGCTTTTTTACCTCAAACGTTTCTTAAATACAGTGTAAACTACCCCCGATGTAATGTCTATCAAATTTGCTATGTGTCTTAAAGTCAATCATACATCATTATATATTATTTGTTGAAATTTAACGAACAGTACTTAAGTTGTTATAATTTTTGTTGGCAAGTAGGGTACCCATTTTTGATGCCCATTATATAATTTTTTATCATTGAAATCCACCTGCTCTTTTGTCTATCAAACAGGCATTGGTTGCTGTAAATGTCACATATTTCAGTGAATATTTCTTTGGGATTCTTAACAAGTTTTACGGCAGCTTTATTGAAGCTATAAATATTTTCACTCTAGTTTACTGATTCTTTACCATTCATTTATAATGCAGTGTCTCGAAAAGCCCTTGTTTCCCAGCTTCTCACGATGAAACTATGTAACGAAAAGTGGTCACATAAACTGTTTTAAATTCATGAAAGATTTAATAATGAGAGAAAATCAAGTTTAATGTCATATGATATCTGTAATGTATGTGATATAGTTCAGGACATTATTTATTGAACAGCCCTCGTAGGAGCAGAGAAGAAGATTTTCAAAGATGTACAACATACCGGGTATTGATTTCGTTTATCAAAGAGAGTACGTATTACTTAAAAGATAACCTGGTATAGAAATAAATACATATCTTAAATTATCCCATGAATTCTAAAAATAATAGATAATACTTACTTTTTTTAAACCACCAACCATCAGTATCTTGAAATATTACAAAAAATATTTAAACAAAATAATATTTACAGAAGTTTCTTAGGATATCAAGATACTATATAGCTATCAAGATTCATGTTTTACTTAGGATAATTTATGTTTATGCAAATTTCTTTCTCATATATTAGAAACATTAAAATTGAAGTACCTTGTATTACCAGAAACACAGCTAGGAGAACCAAGATCTTCCACATGTTTTTTTTTTCCTTCTGTACGTCGAATGAAACAAGTTAATCTGTTCATATTTATACAATTTTTATAACCTATAATCAATGCCCGATCAAGTTATGGAAATTGACTAAACATATGATGATACAGTGTTAATTACTAGATTCTTTGAAGAATTATTTTGAAAAATGTGTCGACCGGTGTCATCCTAAACTTACTGATGTTGTTTATCATTGACTGGCCGTTCAATATCAGACTATTTATTTTTATTTATTGCGAACCTTATGATCTATGGGCATAGGTAAACTTCCGCCAGAATTCGTTTGCTCACAAGTCTCTTTGTAGATGAGGCCTCGACGGGGAGTAAAGCTTTGATCGAATGATGAACATTTATTTAGAATTACGCAGTCTTTTTATATATTTTATTTAGGCGATTATTTTTTTTCCGGAGAATACATTTTTTAATTCTAAGATACCACATTCCTGTTGTATTCAAATGTAGCTGAAATGTGTATTTTTCGATACAGATACGCTTTATGTTTCAAGATACATGTATTTTGTTAAGAAAGTTTCATCTAGAAAGCATGAACCGTCTTGATTTTTTTCTTTAACAATTTTGCCAACGTGATATTGACTGATATTTTTATGTGCAATAAACCTAGACGCAGGTAAAAGAATAATCAAATAGACAAAATATTCATGATGTCCTTTTTGATTAACTTATAACATACATGTACGTCAGTAAACAATTAGGCACACATCATGATCCACTAAAATGTACTGCGTTGTCGTTAAATCATAAGCCCCCGTTCGCACAGATCTGCGACTTTACGACGATCATACCGATCAGGCCACCATCTAAAAAGTTTTGAATCGGGGTGGATCGGAGCCGATTGGCGTCGAAATCGAGCAATTTGGCAAATTATGGACGTCTTCATTACGACCGTACTACGATGCCCCTACGTCAAAGGCACTGCTACATGTAAAGCCCCAGTCACACTATCACGATTTTAGATCACGGTAAGCTACGATTTAGAGATCCGTGAATATTCATAGACATCCGCAGCCAGTATCGTGTTGAGACCTGATAACTTGGATTAATCCTGAATGATCCATAAATCGCTACGACTGTTTTGAACCGTTCAAAACAGTCGTGGAAAACCGCGATTGTTTCTGGCATATCGTTGTTGCCCCGTAGCATGTGTAGGACTACCATCACCGTGTGACCACCGTAGAGACTTTTGCGATGGTTCGTAGTCAACGTTTACTCAAGG